TATATATATATATATATATATATATATATATATATATATAATAAATCGAGAGGACACCTAAGAACTGTACTTTCTTGGATTTTCTAATTTGGCCACAAAACTTTCTGTCGTTTAGATTTTGACCACATAAGTTTTGGTAGTCATATTTTTCCCCTTTCCCTTGCTTAATATTCTTCCACCGCCATTATTTTCCATCACCGACTCAGGGTTACTTTAATCTCTTTGTTCATCGATTAAAATATTGGTCCTTACCCTACCGACTCTCATCTTCTTGAACCACCGCTATTCCCTCTCCGGGGATTAGAGTGAAGGCGAGACAGGAAAGCACCCTGAACTCATAGGGTGAAGGCGAGGAAGCTTTCAAAATTTCAGGGGCTCCGCTTCATCTACTTCCTGGATTTGACTTCCAATAGATTCGCTAGCATCGATTTAGGGATTATTGTTCCAGGTATGTAGCAGATTTGAACTATCTGTTGATTTAAACTCATTTAGTGAGTGTGTGTCTGTTCATAAAATCATAACCGATGACGGGATGGAATCGAATTGAACGTAGGAAAAGGAGATTGAGGGTATTTGGTTGGAATGGACCGAAGAACAAACCCAAATTTGATATTTCAAAAAATGGAACCGAGAACCGATTTGTCAGATTTAGAAGACGTTCTAGAGAAAAGGAAGACGATGCAGGAGGCAAGAAAGAAGACGGTGACGGAAGGAGTTGACTGCATCATTCCGATGAGTAGTACTAGGTAGGGTTTAATTATTATGAATAACAAATTGTTCTGTATCAAAATTTTCAATTTTTTTCTATTTAATCAGTTGCTATCTAACACTACAGGAATGTAAGAAATGTTCATAAAGCATGGTTTGCCAATGAAGATGCAGTTCGTAAAGTTGTTGGCATGTTGGATAATACCAATACCAAGCCATCAAAAGATGGAGAGGAAAAACTTAATGTTTCAGACTTTCAGTGAAGTTTTTAATCCTTATATTTGTATCATTTGAAGCTACCTTTTGGGATTTGCTTTGAATCATATACACTTGATAATGTTAGCACTGCTGCTTGTGGTCATCCTTTCTGTAACACATGTTCGCCAGGTTTGTATTAATAATGCTCTGTGTTTTTGTTTCATTATACATTTATAACTTATAAGTTTATAATTGGTATATTGAATTACAAACTTATGTTTTTTTAACGGTTTTATTGATTGTGGTAGCTTACATTAGCAAATCTATCAGTTATAGTCCTGATTGTTTAACTTTGAGATGCCTAATTCCATCTTCTGGTGTTGTTGTTGATGTGGGCATGGTCAATATGTTCACTTTAGATGAAGATAAGAAGAAATACCGATGTTACCTTCTTAGAACGTATAATCTATAGTTTGTACATATCTTTTATTTAAGAATTCTAAATCTGTAGGTTTGTAAAATAAAATTTTCATTATCCATCTTTGCTCATCTGTCTTTCATATTCTTTGAAAGTCATATGAGAAACATGGATATTGTTTTACTATTATATCCATTCCGTTCAAAAACTTTATTAAAAAGAATTTGTTAAATTATGTTGAAGCAATCGATAATAACAGAAAAAAAAAAGTAAGCAGAGAACACTACCAGAACCAGTCGACAATTCAAGTAGAAACCAAGGAAGTTACAAAACCTGCAAACAGTAATTAATGATAAGCAGAAAAAGCATTACAATACATACACACAGATAATAAAAAAACATAATACACAATACCAAAAGACAGAGGTCACCAAAAACCAGAAAGTCATAAAAAAATGAAGTTAAACACAATGAAAATGCGAACAAGATTCAAGCGGTTCTGGAATGTCTGAAACAAAAGGGTATTTTGATCCAAAATAAAAAGGTTATAATATTTTTTTTTAACTTTTTTCTTCGATAAATGAGTAACATGGACAATTTTTTTTTCTTTTGAAATTTGAACTCTAACACTAATGTTGACGTAGGTGTGTGTAAGTTCTGTTCATATAAGTTTAGTCCTTCACTAAAATTGATTTTTTTAAATATTTTTTCGATAAAAGAGTAACAATATTAATTCCTTTTTTGAAATTTGATCTCTTAGTTTCTTATGTGTATTTGAGATTTTTTTTGTTTGTTTGTGATTTGCAGCCCAAATATAGTAGTGTACTTACTAATATACTGCATGAGAAGGCCACCATTTGTATGGTGAGTTTGAATCAATGACTGGAAACTAACCAGTAATAATTTGGTTAATTTGGTCAAGACTGATGTATTTTGTTTTGTAGGAATGGCCAAGTGCCATAGCTGATGAAGCTTTCCGAGATGATGTTTTCTGTTGGTTTTGGCAAGCATGTTGATGTTTTCATGTATGTAATGAAATCCTCATTTGTACATAAATAAATAAAATGTACTCCCAACATATTGTGATACATAGTTACACTAATTAGCATCAACAACATACTTTAAAAACGAATACCCTCCAACCCTCGCAACGCGAGGGAATCTTTTCTAGTTAAGTTATTATAAAACCAACAGTATAAAAACATCCATAAAAACATCCCATGTCGAAACCAAAGTGTCAATAATCAAAACATGTTATCATAAAACAATATCATAGTGTAATCCCAAAGATCTCATGTGTGGAAAACATAGTGGGGGATTTTGATATTTTAAGATGTTTAAAATAAAACTAGAATTACACTAACATTTAAAAACACAATTCAACAAAAGAAAATTTTGATGTAAAATCAATAAGAGAAAGATGGTTGACTTTGGACTTTCATTACTTGAATATTTGGTTAAATAATCATGAG